AGAGCCTGGACCCCAAGGTTGAGGGGCTTTCACCCAGCCCTAGAGCATGGCATTTTGAACTAGGACTTAAAGCCTCCAAACTGTAAGAGAATTAAGGCCATCCCATTTGTGGTATATTCCTGTCAGAGTGGTACTAGGTAACCAGAACAGATACCAAAATTTTTGAGAATCTGAAACTTGCTGTTGAATGGAAAGTAGCTAAAACATATGAAGAAATGACAAGATGATAGAGCTTATCAAAAGATTTCAAAGAGCAACTGGAGAAGACAAAGTCAGTTTTTACAAGGAAATGTACAAAGACCTGGAGTTAGAAAACAAAAAAGGAAGAACACGCTCAGCATTTCTGAAGCTAAAAGAACAGTAGAAAAAAATTCAAGCCTTGTGTTGCAAAATTACAAGCTTCTATGGGCAAAATATTGAATGATGCAGAAAACATCAAAAGAAGATGAAAGGAATACACAGAGTCACTGTCCTAACAAGAATTAGTCGGTGTTCATTTATTTCAGGAGGTGGCATATGATTAAGAATCAATGGTATTGAAGGAAGAAGTCAAAGCTGCACTGAAGAAATTGGTGAAAAACAGAGCTCCAGTAATTGACAGAATACTCATTGAGATATAGGCGCTTACTTGTGTATACCAAGAAATTTGGAAGACAACTGACTGGAAGAGGTCCATATGTGTACCCATTCCCAACAAAGCTGATCCAACAGAATGTGGAAATTATTGACCAATATCATTAATATCATATGGAACTAAAATTTTGTTGAAGATAATTCAAAAATGTTTGGAACAATATATTCACAGAGAACTTGAAGAAATGCAAGCTGGATTCAGAAGAGGACATGGAACATGGGATGTTGCTGATGTCAGATGGATCTTGGCTGAAAGTAAAGAATACCAGAAACCTACTTAATTGTGTTCTGTTGACTATTCAGAAGTATTTGATGGTGTGGATCATAACAAATTGTGGATGACATTGAGAAGAATGAGAATTCCAGAACACTTAATTGTGCTTAGGATGAACCTGAATATAAACCAGGAGGCTGTTGTTCGAACAGAACAAGGGGATACAGCATGGTTTTAAATCAGGAAGTGAGTGTGTCAGGGTTGTATCCTTTCACCATACTTATTCAATCTGTAGGCTGAGCAAATAATCTGAGAAGGTAGACTATATGAAGAACATGGCATTAGGTTTGGAGGAAGAGTCATTAACAACCTGCAATATGCAGATGACATAACTTTGCTTGCTGAAAGTGAAGATGACTTGAAGCACTTACTGATGAAGATTAAAGACTACAGTCTGCAGTATGGATTACACCTCAAGTGAAAACTAAAATCCTCACAACTGGACCAGTAATCAGCATCACGATAAATGGAGAAAAGGTTGAAGTTGTCAAAGGTTTCATATTACTTGGATCCACAATGAATACCAATGGAAAGAAATCAGATGACATATTGCACTGTGCAACTCTGCTGCAAAAGATATCTTTAAGGTGCTAAAGAGTGAAGATGTCTCTTTGAGAACTAAGGTGCCCCTAACTCAAGCCATGGTATTTTTTGGTCACCTCATATGCTTGTGAAAGCTGGACAGTGAATAAGGAAGACAAGAAGAGTTGATGCTTTTGAGTTGTGGTGTTGGTGAAGAAAACTGAAAGTACCATGGACTGCCAGAAGAACTAACAAATCTATCCTGGGAGAAGTGTAACTGTAATACTTCTTGGAAACAAGAATGGCGAGACTTTGTCTCACCTCCTTTGTCATGTTGTCAGAAGGGACCATTTCCTGGAGAAGGATATCATGTTTGGTAAAGTGGAGGTCAACGAAAAAGGGGAAGGCCCTCAACAGATGGATTGACACAGTGGCTGCCATGATGGGCTCAGGTATAGCAAGCATTGTGAGGCTGGTGCCAGGACCAGTCAGTGTTCTGTTGGTACATAGGGTTACTATGAGTTGGAGCTGACTTGATGGCTCCTAACACTACTGCCGGGAGCTCTGTTGGCACAGTGTCTAAGGCATTTGACTGCTAACCAGAGGGCTGGCTGTTTAAACCCACCAGCCACTCCTCGGAAGGAAGGTTGGGCAATCTACTTCCGTAGTGATACTGCCTCGGCAACCCAAGGAGGGGTCGCTATGAGTCGAGTCCGACTCGATGGCACACAACACCACCACCACCACCACCGCCATTTCAAATATGTAATTAAGGAACTTACAGGTTTAAATGACCTTCTAGTAATGCAGCCATCACCATAAATTCATTTCAGAATGTTTTTATCCTCCCAGTAAGATCCTTCATGCCTATTTACAGTTAATCTCTGTTCCTAGCCTAGGTGCTGTCAAGTTGTCTCCTAACTCATAGCGACCCTATGTACAGCAGAAGGAAACAATGCCTGGTCCTGTTCCAGCTCTACAATCCGTGCTATACCTGAACCCATCATAGTAGCCACTGTGTCAGTCCATCTTGTGGAGGGCCTTCCCTTCTTTTCGTTGACCTTAACGTTACCAAACGTGATATCCTTCTCCAGGGAATGATCTCTTACAACATGAGCAAAGTAGGTGAGATGAAGTTTGGCCATTTTTGCTCCCAAGGAGCATTCCGGCTGCACTTCTAGGACAGATTTCTTAGTTCTTTTAGCACTTCGTGGTAGTTTCAGCATTTTTCACCAGCACCACAACTCAAAAGCATTGACTCTTCCTAGATCTTCCTTATTCATTGTCCAGCTCTCATATGCATATGAGGAGATTCAAAATACCATGGCTGTATCAGGCGCATCTTAGTCTTCAAGAAGGCATCTTTGCTCTTCATCACTTGAAAGAAGTCTTTTGCAGCTGATTTGGCCAGTGCTATACGTCGTCTGATGTCTTGACTGCTGCTCTCATTGGCGTGGATTGTAGAACAATGTGATATGAAGTCTTTGACCACTTCAATCTTTTCTGCATTTATTATGATGTTGTGAGGATTTTTGTTTTCTTTATATTGAGGTGTAATCCATATTGTAGACTATAGTCTTTAACCTTCATCAGTAAGTGCTTCAAGTCATCCTCACAATCAATAATTCTACCTTTTTCTCTGACTTTTCCTTTCTGGATATTTCATATATGTGTACTCTGACTTGTTCCTTTTAGCATGTTTTTGAGTTCTTTCTATGATGTAGTATGTTAGTAGTTTCTTTCTTTTTTATTTCTGAATATTTTTTAAAAAATACTATTATTATAGCTATTCTCATGGGTGTGAAGTAGTTTCTCATTATGGTTTTAATTTGCATTTCTGTAATGAGTAACAATTTTGAGCTTCTTTTATGTGTTTATAAGCAATCAGTGAAATATGTTCAGCTATGTTGCTGAAATTTTATGGGATTGTCTGTCATCTTATTATTGAGTTGTAAAAGAACCCTCGTGGTGCAGTGGTTAAGCTCTTGGTTGCTAACGAAAATGTTTCAGTTTGACCACCAAGGACTCTGTACGGGAAAAGACCTGGCAGTCTGCTTCTTAAAGATTACAGTCTAGGAAACCCTGTGAGGTAGTTCTCTGACCTGTAGCATTGTTATGAGTTGGAATCGACCTCAAGGCACACAACAGGAAGGGTTCTTTGTAAATTTAGAAGACAAGTTCTTTATCAGCTATGTGTTTTGCAAATATTTTCTCCTAATTTGTTGGTGCTTGTTTTTTCATTTTCTTCAAGATGTTTTTTTGATTGCCAAAGTTTTAAATTATGCTCAATTTATTTATTTATGTTTTCTTTTATTGACTATGTTTCTGGTGCTTTATCTAAGAAATCTTTGCCTAACCCAAGATCTTAAAGATTTTTTTCCTAAACTTGTATTATTTTAGCTTATACATTTAAGCGTGTAATCCATTTTGAATTATGTTTTGATTAAGGTGAGGATTTAAGTTCATGTTTTTGCATGTGGGTATCCAATTAAAAAGGTATTAGTTACTTCATTGAAAATAATAATAACCAATTACATGGCACCATCAACACCATATCTTTATGAAAAATAATTTCTAAAATAAAAATAATGAAAAGCATGGCTTATTTTACATTTTTTATAATTATTTAATATGTAGCTTAAGATAAGGCATTCTCTAATCTGCTTCTTTACTCAGTCTCTTGCAATATGACTATGAGGCATCTAGAAAATTGTACTGTATACTTGTGAAAGAATCAGAGTAAAGAAGTCAAGTAATATGTTAGTATTATAATTAATAGTTTTAATTTCATGGAACCCACTGAAAGTGTTGAGGAACCTCCAAGGTCTGTAGTTGATACTTTGAGAACCTCCAGTATATGAGCCAAACCAAACTCACTGCTATTGAGTTAGTTCGACTCATACCTACCCCTCCTTGGGTTTCTGAGGCAGTATCTACGGAAGTAGATTGTCCAGTCTTTCTTCTGAGGAGTGGCTGGTGGGTTTGAACTGTCAGCCCTCTGGTTAGCAGTCAAATGCCTCGGGCACTAGGCCACCAGAGCTCCTTATAATATGTTTGGCAGAAACCGGAGAAGGGAGGATGACCTGGGTTCTGCATGGAAGGTGATAATTCTACCATGGAATAAACCACCAGGCCCCCCAGGATTGAAAGTTTTCAGTAATTAATAGCACCAATCAGGCTATATAAAGAGTTATAAGATATTGAACAATCACATATTGGGGAAGTTAGACTTAATCTTATTGCCTTGATGTTATTTATATTTTCCTAATTAAGGTTGGGCAATCTACTTCCATAGTGATACCACCTCAGAAACCCAAGGAGGGGTTGCTATGAGTTAGGTCCAACTCGACAGCACATAATAGCAGCAACAATTATTTTTCAAAGGGTATTCACCTCCTAATAAAAACAGTAATTCCATGCTGAGGAGCAAGAGTGGGATAGTAATTATTTTGCATATCAACTTAAGACAGTATGTGAAGTGCTGCTTTTCAATAAATATCTCAGAAATATTGAAAGGTATATAAAACACTGTCATGTGTAATTATTAACATTTCAATTTGTACTATTTCAGGATGATCTTGAAGACCTTATTATTAATTGGGATGATAGCAAAAGCATTGGTGACATCTTTCTTAAATATGTAAGTATTTATTTTTTAAGTATTCAGATTAAAGTATCATCAAGGACTATCAAAATGATATTTCATATACAAGAAACTTTCCAGATAAATAAGTGAAAGTTACCCCTTGGAAAGTGAGAGCTTTTAAAACTTTGGCATGATTGTGTTTATAAAATATATTTCAGCTGTTCTTGTTTTCTGAAACATGCTTTCTGTATGTAACATATTCTTGATAGCTCAAGATCATCTTCAGGGACACTGTCATAGTATGCTATTGTTTTGCTACATATTATTTGCCCTTTATAAATGATCACAGGTTAATGATTTTTTGAAATTTTTTATTTTTCTCTTATCTTTATTATCACTTTTTGCTTGCAATATGTATGCTCTATATAGAAGCTTCTAATGCACTGCCTTTTTACTATAATGTGAATAAAATTCTTACAAATAAAAATAAATTTTGAATGAGATAACTGTAATTCATTCCTTTGAATAGGATTTATAGGTTTTAGTGCTTTGGATCCTGGAACATTTACTTGATTTCTGAGACCTCTTTAATTTCCTTCTTTGCATTATAGTCTCTAGTTGTTCTAGGTTGGTTGAGACAGCCAGATATATAAATTATTACCACATATGTTTTTGATTGTACCCTCATTTAGCCAAGACATTTTTTACCCTTTGCATTTTTGAGTACTATAACCTTTTTAGTGATGGCTTGCATCCTTCAATAAAGAATTTGCATGTTCTTGGGTTCTACATAGGTGAGCTTTGCTTGAATAATTATATTCTGAATGTATGTATTTATAGTAGTTTTAAGATTTTGTCATGTTTCTATCAATAAAATAAGCTTTAATTTGCTTTTGTTTTTTTCTGGTTCTTTGCTACTCAAGTTTTAGCCTCTATGTGCCAAATTGATGCATTTTTGTTTAGCAATTAACTCTTTACCAAGTTTATAAATTTAATTTCTGTGTTTAACTTGAGAAGAAATTTATTTAAAGTTTTCTTTTGCATCTAATATGTCAGATGGCAAATTTTGAATATTTGAATTTAAATTTCATTGTCCAAAGGTGACATGAATAACAAATTAGTTGTCTTTTTTTTCCCCTCTTCCCTTTCTAGTCAAAGGATTTGGTAAAAACTTACCCTCCTTTTGTAAACTTCTTTGAAATGAGCAAGGAAACAATTATTAAATGTGAGAAACAGAAACCAAGATTTCATGCTTTTTTGAAGGTATTGTACATATCTTTCAAATGAAAATCTGGGAGTCATTTCTGAAGGCATTTTGTTAAAAATTATAACAAATTAAATCATAGCTTCAGTAAAATTGTTTCCATGTAAGAACATCTTAATGTTGTCTGTTAATTTTAGCTGTACTTGAGTATAGGTAGTGATGTTTTAGCTTCAGAGGATTTGGTGTATTAGGTAGCAGTGGCAGCTGGACAAATGAGAATGTTATATATAGTTACAGAAATTATACAGGTTTTAGCTTTTCAGCATCTGAAAATTTTCTAGCAAGATTTTTCTTTTGCCTTTAATGATTTTTTTCCCTTACCAAATGCTTTCTTTATCCCAAAGTATCAGCATAATTACTATTTTAAAACTTTTTTTTTCCTGTGAATTGTGTAGACTTCAGAGAAACTTATAGTAGAATGTATAAGATGTGTAGTGGAGCTCACTTTCTTTTTTTAAAAAAACTTTTTATTGTGATTTGGGTGAAAGTTTGCAAAGCAAATTATTTTTCCATTCAACAATTCATACCCATTTGTTTTGTGACATTGATTACAATCCCCTGTGTAACAGCACTCTTCCCACTTATTCCCTGTGTTTCCCATTTCTATTCATCCTTCTTTTCCTGCCTTCTCAACTTTGTTTTTGCCCTTTTTGTCTTCTTTGGTTGATTGCTCACTTTCTATTTGAGTTGTTAACCCTTGGCTGTCCAGTAATTCATTTTAAGCCTTGGAAGATTACCATAGTTTTCACATATAATGTGCCAGGTAAATAGCATTCACATGCATAATGTGCATAGTGATCATAGATGGGTAATGCATGAGGGGGTTGTGGGTTTGCAAAAGATTGTATAATGTGCACATTATTTGCCTAAAAGTACAATATTCAGCCACAGTGATCTTCTGGTAATCTGTTCTACCACTACCCATCTGTTCTGCTCGTTCTTATCAGGGCCACTGATGATAGAGTGTAAGATGTCTTAGCTTTTCAGAAAACCATTCCTTCTTTAGTTATTGAATGAGTTAACTCTTTTCAGATAAATCAAGCTAAACCAGAATGTGGACGGCAAAGCCTTGTTGAACTTCTCATCCGACCAGTACAGAGATTACCCAGTGTTGCACTACTTTTAAATGGTATTTGTCTGTTCTGTTTTCAGACCAATTTAGATATTTTCATGAAATTGTTTTGTTCTTAAAAACTGCAATTCTTATTTTAGTTAGACTTCTGCAATAAAGTTTATATATCTCTTTTACAAAGATGGGAGCTCTAGTGGCATACTGGCCAAGGTATTTTGACTGCTAACCAGAAGGCTGGTGGTTCAGACCTACCAGCCACTCCATGGAAGGAAGATTGGGCAATCTATTTCTGTGGAGATACCGCCTCAGAAACCTAAGGAGGGGTCAGTGTGAGTCAAATTGACTTGACAGCAGTGATTTTTTATTTTTAAAAAAAGAAAACAGCTCTATATGTCATCTTAAAAATAATCACTGGTGCCACAAAAATTCAGTCTAGAATGAAGTACTTTGTTTTGATGTCATTTATTTTGCTGAGTATTGTGTTTTTCATTTATCCACTTAGTCTTCTTATCTTTTTGTGGTGTCTCATTAATTCACAGTTGATAACATACATGTAAACTCAAAGTTCACTTGCAAAATTGTAAGAAGAGGGATGATTCATATGTCCCAAGTATTTTAGTCATTCTCTGAATTTTGGTAAAGTTCTGTATACTCAGCCTTATGCTTACTTTTTTTTTCTTTAGGTGGTTCAAAATATTCTGGAAACATTCATATTTTCCTGAAGTTAAAATACAGATATAAATAGAAGGAAGTTTTACAGCAGAAAGTTAACTTTTATAAATAGGTTTTGTGTGTGGTCAAAAAAAGTATATATATATGCCTTTACTTTTTCATACTTAATTTAAAATAATAAAACTTGACACTTCCCTATTTTAAATTAAGTATGAAAAATAAATTACAAACAGAAATGTTTGTGATAAAATATTCTGATACCTAAAACCTGTTTACAGTATAGCAGACAAGGAAACTAATTATGAGACTGATTAAAAAAGACTTTTTTCTTTAAAATAGTTTATTATAGTTTTAACTACAAAATTTCAAAATTTTTCTCTTTGGAGTATCTTGTAAAATTTTATCTAGTAAAATTGAAAATTCTTAGTTTAAAAAATGATTTCCCTACCCTTTTTAACAGATTATGAAGAAAATATATGAATAAACCTTTAAGTTTCCAAAACAATATATTTTTTCTAATTTGCATATCATCATAATTGTTTCATTAAGTATGCATGGAAATCCTTGCTGTCATAATTAAAATGAACTTATTTTCTAAGTCTTTTTCCTATTGTTCTTCATAAAAGATTAGGTGGGTATTGTGCTAGATAGAGAACAGATTAAGTAGAAATGGGCCATGGATACTTAGGATAAGCAATCTGGATAAGAAGAGCCAAAGTATATGTATCTCATGGACCTCACAACTAAACAGAATCTGCTTCTAAGGACACCACATACTCTGTGGTATAGCCATGGGCCTCCAATATGAAATATAAATAATGCTTTTGAGATAATTGAGGGGTATGTGTTTTCATTCAGCAGAACAATCTAGGAGTTCCCAAGCTTTATGAATTGAGAAAGCATTGTAAGAAAACTTCTGTTACATATTTTGAATATTTAATCAATAAAAATATAAGATAACCTTAGGAAATGTTTAAGAAGAGAACTCTTAAGGGAACATTGCTTAAACCTTTTTTTAAGTAAAAATATATTTTAAAATTAATACTCCTTTATATCAAGATAGACCACCATAGAATTTTTTTCAATCATAGAAAAAAATTTTATCATTACAGATCTTAAGAAGCACACAAGTGATGAAAATCCTGACAAAAGCACTCTAGAGAAAGCTATTGGCTCACTAAAGGAAGTAATGACGTAAGTGAATTACTGTATTTTTCTTAATGTTTCTAAGACTTACAATGAAATCGATGGGAGAAAAAAATATGAATAACAGATTTCTATAAAATAATAGGTGTATTATTTTCTAATGAGAAATATTGTAAGAATACATTGATTAATCAAAAACATTTATCTCGAAGTATTATACTATTATGCACAGAGAGAAACCATCAGTTTAGAAACATGAAAATATAAAGATAAACTAATGTTATTTTCTTTATATATCTCCAGTCATAACTTCTTTGGGTCTTCATATTCATGTAAACAGTCCAGATGTGACTTGAGAATTTGATCATGGTGAAATAAAAAGTTTATAGTACTTACTTTTATTTTAGGCTTTTAGTTTCTTACCTTAAATTTCATGGAATTAAATTGATAAGGTTGATCAGATATACATTAAAAGTTACCAAGTCAATGAAATTGATTTGGGGAGATATAATTTTTTTGCCTCATAGGAAGTATTTAAACTTTTTGGACTTTATGTATCTACATACTTCAACAGATTTAACTATATCTGAGATTCCAGGAGGTTCTTCTACATGAAAGAATTTCTTAAAATACTTCTAAAGGAACTCTTATACAGAAACTTTACTAGCTCTAGATAGGATCTAGTACTAGACCCTATTAGCTAATACCAATTTTTGGAAAAGTTTATGCATGTAAATTATTTTGTTTAGATTTTATTTGTGTTTACCAGCCAGGTTCATGCTTTTGATTTGTTATCCTGAGACCAATATAAAAGTTTTGAGGCTATTATGATGGTGATTTTCTATATATAACTATTTATGATCTAAGTACTCTAAATTATAAACCTTGATCCTTTGAATAAAATCTTTGAATTAGGCAGAGTTGGTGTTAGAATGTTTTACAACAGAGAAAAGCTGAGAAGTTATTACTTGACTACTTGACCTGTTTAATGGCAAATTTGGGACTAGAATATATGAAACTCATTCTACTTCAACATGTTTTTTTCCTCCAAAATTCTGTATTTAACCACCAGTATCAAAAAGTTGAAAAACAAAGTGATGTAGAGGTTTTCCAGTTGTTGTCGAGAGTACAGCTGTGCTCTAGGGGGTCTCATGGCTGATATTTTCTTCAACTTTTTATTGTGATGTGAGTGAAAGTTTACGGAGCAAATTGGTTTTCCATTCAATAATTCCTATACGTTTTGTTTCCTGACATTGATTGTGATTCCCACGCATAATCCCTACACACAGTCCCCAGCACTCTTCCCACTTATTCCTTGTCTTTCCCATTCATTCCTCCTCCTTTCCTATCCCTTCCTTCCTTTTTAGCTTTATGCCTGGGCAAATGCAGCCCTTTTGATGTTGTTTTCTAGAAGTGTATACCTCTGTATTGTCATTTTTCACCTTAAAGGCTTTTCTGTTGTTTGGCTGAAAGCTGAGCCATGTGGGTAAGTTCAGTTCCAGCTGTGAAGGGTGACTAGGGGCCACAGTCTTGTGCATTCTACCAGTCTCTCAGACCAGTAAGCTTGGTCTTTCTTATGGTTTTGAGTTTTGTTCCACATTGTTCTTCTACTTTATCCAGGATCCTCTATTGTCATTTCTTTCAGAGCAGTCAGTAGTGTGGTACCTGGGCGCCATGTAGTTCTTTCGGTCTTAGGTTAATAGAGGCTGATGATGGCACAGCCTATTAGTCCTTTGGACTATTTATTTCCATTTGTCTATGATTTTCTTCATTCTTCTTTGCTTCAGACTGGGAGAGACCAGTCTTAGATGGCCACTTGCTAGTTTGTAAGACTCCAGTCACTACTCACCACAGCAGAATATAGACTTTTGTCTTCGTGGACTATGTTATGCCAATTGAGTTAACTGTACCCTGAGACTGAGGTCCTAAACCCCCAAGCCCAGTGACTTATCTCAAGGTCTAACGCCTTTTTTTCTTTTTTAAATGATAACTTACGTTTGTTATTTATGTGGAATCTATTTTGAACAATAAAAATGAAGTCACTGAAGTAGGGCATAAACTAGTCAATTGACTAAGTATCAAGTTGGCTGCTGTAGGGATAATGAGCTGAACCTACAACAAATGATTAAGGCTTTCTATTCTAAGTGCCTTTCTCATAGTAGATTTTCAGTAAATTTTGAATCATAGGAACTGCTATTTTATTTTTGGATTGTGATATTGATTTCATTAACCTTGTAGAGTTTGACCATATCTAAATTCTTGGGTTTCTTGAACATTTCATCTAGACACTAATTGCTTATTATGATTGATTCAAGCATGTTAATCTATCAGTAAAGGAAATAATGGATAGTACCAATTCACCAAACCATACTCACTGTCCTCAAGTTGATTCTGGCTCATAGTGACCCCCATTGGCTTTCCAAGGCTGTAAACCTTTATGGAAGCAGGCTGCCTCATCTTTCTTCTGTGGAGTGGCGGGTGGATTTGAACCACCAACCTTTTGGTTAGCAGCCAATGGCTTAACAACTACACCATCAGAGCTCCTTACCAATTCACCAATCCTTGCTATTTTAGTAAACCAAAAAACTCCCCTAATATTGGATTCTAAAAACATCAGTTACATGTGCGGAGTTTATAAATATTAATGTTATAGATAGATGCTTTAGTAATTTTAGTATGCTTTTGTCTTCTTTTTAAATAAACTTTTATTTAAAAAAACTATGTTTTGTAAACTCTAGGTACAGTGAAACCATTACCACAGTCAAGGTAAGGAATGTGTCTGTCCATCACCTTCAAAGTTTTCTCATAAACCTATGTAATTCCTTCTTCTTGCCCCATCCATCTCAAGGCAACCACTACTCTTTGAGTTACTTCAGTTTACCTTTTCTAGGATTTTATCTGAATGGAATCAGACATTATATTCTCTTTTTTCTGTCTTTTTCGACTGAGCATAATTATTTTGAGATCCATCTTTGTTGTTTTATTGCATGTTATCAGTGGTTCGTTTCTTTTTATTATTTTCCATTGTATGAATACGCCACAATTTAGTTATCCATTCATATGTTGAAGAACATTTTGATTGTTTCTAATTTTTGGCAATGACAAATAAAGCCGCTATGATTCATGAATAAGTCTTTGTATGGACATATTCTTTCGTTACTCTTAGGTAAATTCCTAAGACTAGAAGTGGCTACGTCATATGATAGGTGTGTGTGTAACTTTTGAGGAAGCTGTCCAACTATTTCCAAGTGTTTGTACTGTTTTACATCCCACCAACAGTGGTATGTGATGAGTTCTGGTTGTTCCATGCCCTCCCTAGCACTTGGTATGGTCAGCCTTTTTAATATGAGACATTCTAATAGATGTGTGGTAGTAACTCATTTTAGTTTTGGTTTTTATTTCCCTAATGACAAATAATGCTGAGTATCTTTTCATGTGCTTATTTTCCATCTGTGTTATCTTTTTTGTCGACATCTTGTTCAATTTTTTTTTACTTTTAATTTTAATTGTTTTTTTTCCTTAATACTGAGTTTTGAGAGATCTTCATTCTGGTGAAATCAGACTTTTGATTTGACAATATTTTCTCCTAGTCTTGACTTGTATTTTCTTTCAGAGAATAGGAGTTGTAGATTTTGGTGAAGCCCAAAATAACAATATTTAAAAAAATGTATGGAGGTACTTTTATAGTTTTATCCAAGAAATCTTGACCCATCCCTGGTCACACTGTTTTCATTAAGTAGGTTGATAGTGTTAGGTTTTACATTTAGCTTTGTGATCTATTTAGTTAACTTTTATATGTGCTTCAAGTTGAGGATACAAATTCTTTTTTCTAATTTGGAAACCTAATTGGCCCAACACTATTTGTTGAAAAAACTTTCCTTCCTTCATTGAATTGTTTTTATATATTTTTTTGAAGATCAGTTGGCTATATGTGAACTAATTTTTATCTAAGTTTTGAGGAGTCAGTTGAACTTCATTCTTCTATATATGGATATCCAGTTGTTTAAAAGACCATTTGTTTAAAAGATCATTCTTTTCCCCATTGAATTGTCTTGGCACCTTTGACTCTGGTGTAAAGTTTGTTTCTTCACTCTTATTTCTATTCCGTTGATGTATATGTTTATTCTTATGTCAGGTTCACTCTGTTTTGATTATTGTACTTTTGTGTTAAGTTTTGAAGTTAGGATGTATGATTTTGTTCTTTTTCAAGATTGTTTTGGCTATTTTGGATCTCGTAAATTTGCATATGGATGCCCGCTATCACCACTTCTATTCAACATTGTACTGGAAGTCCTAGCCAGGGCCATAAGGCAAGAAAGGGAAATCAAAGGCATCCA